CGGTAGCTGTCCAATGAAGTGCGAACACTTCTCCCATTGTCGAGAGGAAGCCCCAGGTACCCCGCTCCTACGTCCATGTAGTGGGAGGTTTTCGACTGGTAAACTGTCCCTCATCGTGTTTATTTGCTGGAGTGGCCTCTCCAGGGGCGAGTGGATAGAAGAAGGAAGCCAGGAGGTGCCCAGGCAGTTGGCTTTGTGAGACTAAGCTTTGTCTGGCCTCTACCCGTTGACCCTCCAGGCATGATTGGATATATATATATATATATTCGTCACAATAACCTTCTGTGCAACACCGGGTAACTTTTAGATAAATAGCTCTTTCAGAGCCAGTTCATTGAAGAATCAATGCTATAATTCGAAGTTTTTTAGGTGGGTTAGATGCTGCCAACGTGACGTGAGCGTTTTTACAGAATATTTCTTAATAAGTAGAATGTGAATGATCGGACAAAATTTCCCTGGAAGCATACGATCGGTTTCGCGGTTCTTGCCGCTCGTCAGGCATGCGTATCCGGTAATTTTTGTGAAATGTAAGTTCGCGTTGTGGACATCTGATCATGCAGTGTTGAGGTTTTCTCTCACAATTATTAGGGAATCTAACCAGTTTGTTTACTCGCTGCAAATCAGACAGTATTACGGGGTGAACCTCATGAAGCTTTAATGCATGATCAATCACTACGACCATAATGTTATCACATTCTACCTGTTCCGTTTTTTGTAATCACTTAGCAAGCTATTTAAATTGTTGAGCTGCTATTAGCGAGATAATGTATCTAAACCTATCGATTTTCCACCCTATACCTTCAACCACCTCATCGCTCAAAGGAACGTACCTTTGGAATGAGTAGGCACATTATCCAGAGTACCCATTCGAAATCCACTCACTAAGAGCTTCCTTTGTAGGCTCAATTGTCAATACATTGGGGTCGGTTCGGCAACAAAAACAGTAGTGCAATCTGTCAGGCTCTCATGCAACCCGTCCACTTAATCAATATCACCTAGTTAAGCTGAACAAAATGGGATACCACAGACAAACAGAAGGCAAACGATGAAGACATGTGAACAAGGTGACGACTATCTATTGATTTATTTGAAACGATACATGCTACTGATAAACAAACAGTGCCAGTTGAAAAACGATCAAACGACTGGGTTTCGTCGGAATAAACTTACGCATCTGAAGTACGAATAGTGTCCACCCCCCGAGTGACCTCGTCCCGCAATTCACTTATGACCGTAATACCTAGCTGGCGTTTGAGAAATTGCTGACGCCGACATTTAGCGAGTAGAACTTGCCGTAAAGTCTGTATTTCCTCGTCAATCTAAGGAATAAAAACCAAGCGAGAGGAGAATAGACTTAGTGCCGGATCAAAAACTCAGTATCCCTAATCAAATCCCAGTGTGTGGAATGGGAATGCACTGCTGACACCAACCAACAAAGTGGTTCTTGTAACTTTACGTGGCGAAAAGATCTTTGACAAAGAAATGGGTACCAAGTGAGATAAGATGCAAAATGAAGTATGCTGTGTAGCATTGCTCCTGAAGACAAGGGTAAAGAGAAAATCCCATGAGCATGAGATAGCTTTTCAAATCGCGCGGATTTATAGTTTGGCTTGGGAGGAATGATTTGGGAAGAGAGCTTTTGATAAAAAAATCGTTTTCATTGTATATTTTGTTTTCGCCTGTTCTTTGCTTGTTCTTCACCGGACAAAATCCGTACCACTGATTTCTATTTACAGTTATATCTATAAACGTCGTCAATTAAAAGAAATTTTCATCCGATAGGTCACAACCAAGAAGGCAGGATGCACCAGCGGAAGCTCTCAAAGTAACTTTTTATCATCGCGGTAACTTCTTCAACGTGTGAAAAGATCATGGAATAAAGAACAGTGGCATCAAAGACTACAGAGCAATGGATTCGGGCAGTGATCATCAGCACAAATCACGGAAATGCAGACACCTCAATGATTACCAGCTGCTTCCATCAGACCAATTCGATGCTTCGGAGACATGAGTAATGGAACACCGAAAGAGGCGGGACACTTTCAAAGGTAAAATCGTAATTTTGTTTAAAAAAAAGATTAAATTCCCTATATTTATGTTAATTTTCATCGAGTGTATCTGGTCATTTTTTTCGTAAACAACCGGTTCTCATCACACCATCAGAATGGCTCGACTATGATTGTCTAGATTTCCAAGAGTTTTCAACCGG